GCAAAAGTAACGCAATAGTTACTTTTACTAGTAACTAGTTACTTTTATTGTGGAGTAACTCAGATAGTAACTCAGTTACTTTTTGGGAGAAGTAACTAGTAACTATAACTAATTACTTTTTCAAAGTAACGTGCCCAACACTGGAAACGACGCTGTCAAGGAACGCTATGGACAGCGTAAACATGCAAGAGGAGGAGAGTTTAGTGTCGGAGGTCGTGGATGAGTCTCCTCCGTCATACATTTTTTATTTAGAGGTGGAAAGTAGGGACAAAGATGTAGTGGAAGAGGACGCCAGGACGGCAGAAGCATGGTTTGGTGTAGAAGGCTTCCAGCCGTACATGTTTGAGCCCTTGCCTCGCAACGCTGCCAGTTCTGTTAGCTCTACGCCTGCTGAAAACACAGACATCCATCCCCGTGAACACTGGGACTCAATGGGAAAGTAAATGATTCTTATTTCTTATTTCAAACGTTGCGTATATTAGCTGCGACATATGAATCAAGATGCTATGACCAAAAAAGAATTTTGGTGTTCAGGCTGACATATAACTAACTGGCCCGCATAAGATAACAACAAAAAACACCACAGATTTTAAGATATGATTTTTTTTTATAAACAGAAATCTTCAAAATTTTTGGACATTATCTTCTGATAAAGAGTACATATATATACATGTTTAAGCCGGAATGATTTGACATTTAAATATGACTTCCCTACGCTTTAAGGTTTACATATCCACATTGCGTTTGTATCGCACACTAGAACAATTACAGTCAATGACATCACTACTTGCGTATTTCTTTGGGAAAAACGTCAACTGTGAAATTGACTGCCAGTGGGAGTTCTAGTAGGATCAGAATTCTGGGAGTCCTAGTGTTAAAGAGAATTGTTGGCCTGGCTGAACAGACAAGGTGCTCTGTTCGCATTGCAGGGGAACAGAGCACCCCATTTCATTGCATGTTTTCTAAGCCAAAAAAAGGCTTAGGTTTTTTTTTTTTGGTCCACTCTATAAAGCCTCCAACTCAATGCTATTCTGACATCTGCAAACTTGGAAAGAGTCCAGTGGATTTTCTTTTAACTTTTTTGGAATGATTATGATCTGGATGACTGAGAATCTTCACCAGCATGAGGAAAAAGTGTTTTTTATCAAGATGGTTGAATTTTTACTGTTTTCCATGAAAATGTATTTCTACGAAAGTGCATATAAGTGTTTTTCTGTGCGTGAGGTTTATCTTTCTGATTGCAGGTGTGTGGACGAAGATTTTAGAAGCTGTCGGCGTTATGGCCGTGATCGCTAACGGCTTGGTCATTGGAATCTCGTCGGACTTTATTCCTCGTCTGGTTTACCGCTATCATTACGGCCCGTGTGCCAACGGCAGTACCTCCTCACAGTCAGTGGCGTCACCAGCTTGAACACTCCGACATGCTAGAGCTGGTTTCTCATCTTTGTTTCTTTGCAGCTGCATGCAAGGCTACATTAATGACACCCTGTCCATCGCCTACATGAGGCAGGGCAGGCAAGACGAATTTGTACTTCCAAGGGAGAGGAATCTCTTTAACGTCACTCAATGCAGGTGAGGGAACTGACTAGTCTGCTTTGTGGACAAAAACACACACAGACGTACATTCCTTCAGATTGGATATAACAGGACAAACTGTGTCCTCTACAGCTACAGAGACTACAGAGATGCAGAGGACTACTCTCTGACCCCTAAGTTCTGGCTGGTCCTGGCCATGCGTTTTGCCTTTGTCATTCTCTTTGAGGTGTGTTCTTGTAGCGTTGCATTTAAATCTATGAAAAACTACAAGTAAATTGGATGTTTTACCTCATGTGTTTTCTCCTGACAGCATGTGGTGGTGCTCTGTAAGTTTGTAGCAGCTTGGTTCGTCCCACACAGTGCCACCTCAGTTAAGAACAAGCGTATGAAGGATAAACTGGAGCGACTGAAGGATGAATTAAAGTAAGTTTGCTGCCTGTCTCTGCCACAAGCAGAGGAATTCAAGTATCTAGCTGGTTTGTACACATGTGATGGTGGAGCTCAGGCATCCAGATCAGCTTGAACTTTAGCTTTCCTGAATGGATGGCAGCTGATTGAGGCTGTTGAGGAATCAGATGCTCCATTTATAAAACTTGCATACCAAATTAATCGCCAATTTTGTGATATGTTACCACAAACTTAGGGTGAAAATGTGTGGTCTGAGCCAGCCGTATGAGTTAGTCGCACTCTCAAGGCAGTGGGAAATGGCACCTAAGGTAGTCAGATTGGGGGAATTAAAGAATTCTTCAGATATTCAATTTTAGTTCATATGAAACTTTAAATGTACATCAAAGGATGTCAAAGCACAGTGTGATATCTGCTCACACTTATCAGCCACAGCCCAGGACTTTTTACATAAAGAAAAAAATGCTAATAAGCATCTTAATTTCTACCATATTTAAATGTCTCCACACCCTGATGCATTAAAAGAGGGAGACATACTACTGATCTCTATTTATTCACTGGATTGCTGTAGCTCATTGGTAGTACGGGCTGGAGTGAAGCCACCGGCCGCCATATTGGTACCCCCTAGTTAAACCGGGTGCAATGTAACCAAGTACGTGTGCTACAGCATCAAACAATAATCATTTTCTCATTTTCAGTGGGGCTTAAAGGTGTTGTGGAGGATTTTCGCGAAAGACTCGCCCTCTCTACTTTAAAAAAAATGCGTGTCTGAGAGCATGCATGAGCCCATTGCTCCTTGTGGTATTGTGTGAGGAAAAAAAATCTCACTGTGTAACTATCAGACCGCAATTACATTTTTCATCTTGCACACCCCATTTTTGGAATCTCTTCCCTAGAGCAATGCTCTGGGGTCTAATGCCCTGTTTTTGCTAGC